CGCGTTTTGTTTGCCGCCGCAGCTTGCGGGAGGAGGCGGGGCGCTAGAAGAAGGAGGGGGTGGTGGGGGTCTGCTGCGGCGTGCAGCGGGGGCCCAGCACTTCCGCCGAGCGCAGCGAAACGACGCTCGCCGAGCCCACGCGGTACTTCCCCTGCGCGAGGCTGCCGGGGCCGCCGTCGGCCTGGCGACCGCCCCGCCGCTCTGCGCACGTCGCGAGCCAGCGCTGCACCGCCGCGTTCTCCTCCGTCAGCATCGGGTGCTCGAGGAGCTCCTGCGCGGAGGACCGCAGCACCGGGTCGCGCTTCAGGCAGAGCTCAAGGAAGCCCCGCACGGTGGGCTCGTCGCAGTCAAAGTCAAGCGTCGCGTCGGGGGGCATGCGGCGGTACAACTCGCACGCCTCGGGCATCCCAAGCGGGCGGTTGGCGAGCCGCACCGAGAGGGTATCCGCTGCGATGCAGCCAAACGACCACACGTCGCAGGCCTTGCCGTAAGTCTCCCCCAGCAGCACCTCCGGCGCCATGTACGCAAACGTCCCCTTCACGTTTGTCAGCCCCCCGAGCTTGAAGACGGCGGTGCCGAAGTCGCTCACCTTGGCGCGGCCGCAGCGGAAGAGCACGTTCTCCGGCTTGAGGTCGCGGTGCACGATGTGCTTGCCGTGCAGGTACACCACGGCGGCGATGACGTCGCGCAGGACGTGCTTTATCACCTCCGCGCGCCGCAGCCCGCCGGCCGCGATGAGCTCGCTCAGCGAGCCCCCGCTGCACAACTCCATGAAGATCGAGACACAGTTGTCGTCCCGCTCGCAGAAAAAGTACTGTACAATGTTGGGGTGGCTCAGCGAGCTCATGATCTCCACCTCTCCCGCGATCTCCTTCAGTTGACTGTCGACCCCGTCTGCCCCCTCCTCGCGGCCCCCGCGCAGGTACATGCGCTTCACCGCACACCGCGCCCCCATCGACTCCATCTCCACCTCGAACACGTTCCCGAAGGCCCCACCGCCGAGGCGGCGGCCCAGCGTGTACTGCGGCACCTTGAACTGCCTGGAGGGGCGGAAGACGCTCATGCTGTTCATCTCCTCATCCACGCCGATGCCGGAGAGCTGGATGGCCTCCACATCCCGCGTGGTGAGGGGAAGCTCGAGCCGGAACGCGTAGGGCACCTCCGGCGACATTGTGCCAAGGGCGGAGGCGAAGAAAAAGACCGAGCGACGCTCCTGCTGGGACCAGGCGAGGGCGGTGCGCAGCTGCTCCTTGTCCAGGTCCGGGGCGTGCAGGAGGAACACCTTGAACCGCTCCGAGCCGCGATGAAAGGCGGCGTCCAGCGCCTCGAGTGTCTTGCGCTGGAGGATGAGAAAGTTGCGGCTCCACAGCTTGTCAAAGCTGTCCGCGGTAAGGGTGTTGCTGCGGCAGTACACCAGCGCCGTGATGGCAACCTCGTCGAGGCCTTTGCTCGCGAGACTGTCCCGCATCAGCCGCACCGACCGCGGCCTGCGGAAGAGGGAGACGGGCGACGCAGTCCCGCCGGCCCCCTCCAACGTGGAGGCGGAAGCCAAATCGCGGGACAGGGGAGAAACGCCCGCGTCTTCCGCGGCGGAGTGTCGCGCGGCCTGGGCGTCCAGGCCGATGCTCTTGCACACCATCAGCTCCTTCATCCGCTCCTCCGCCAGCTGCGTCCTCTCAAAGCTGACGCGGCTCATGAGGAGTGCGTTGTAGCAGTCCTCCGGCAGCACCGCCTCCTCCGGGGGCGCGGCGGGGGGTTCGCAGCAGCGATCCCCGACCACTTCGGCCTCCTCCCGGAAGGCTCGCCGCCCCTGCGGGAACGGCTGCAGAGGGGCCTGGCTGGCTGAGCCGCCGCCCCTGTCGTCGCTCAGGGACTGGTCGACGGGTGAGACGCCGCTGCCGCCGCCGCCCGCAGGGCCGTAGCTCGCCCCCGTGCAGGCGCCCCCTACGAGAGTCAACCGTTGGGGATCGGCGACGCCGGGGTTTGTCACGGGGGACAGCACCAGTGGCGGCCGCTTCACCCCGCCGCCGCTGCTCGTGGGGAGGGCCGCGGCGGCGGTGTGGGTGCTGCCGCAGGCGTTGTGCCCGTCCTGCGCCGCGCGGTCGCCGAGCTGCAGCGGCCCTGAGACGTGCTCCAGACTGTCGTACTGCGGGCTTCGCGCCTCAGACGCCATGGCACTCGTGGGGTGGGCGGCGTGGCGCACTTCCTCGTCGTCGCCCGCGTCGACGTCGCGCATCACGACCTCCAAGCGCTTCATCATCTCCGCAAAGTAGAACTCCCGCACCTCCTCCGCCACGGAGTTGTGGCTGAACAGGAGCACGCAAACCGCGGCGGAGAGCAGCAGTGCGAAGCCAAGCAACGCCGCCAGCACGACACGCGCGACGAGGCTCTCGGCGCCGAGGTAGGTAAGCAGCGCAAGGGCCACCAGCATGGCGGCCGTGGTCGCCAACGCGCCGCAGATAAAGTACGGCGAGCGGCGACGTGTGCCGATGAAGCTCCAGAGGCGGTACAGCGGCGTCGGGGTCACTTTTCCGGAGCGGTCCGCTGATACGATCTCCAGCAAGTGCAGGGACGCGACCTCAAACTCCTCACTGTGTGGGCCACCCCTTTTCCAGGCGTTTGCGACCTGCGCCACCGCCCTGCGCAGTCCGGCGTCGGACCAGGAGGTGAGGTACGGGTTCAGCAGGACCCCACTCACCTCGCAAAACGCGTGCGAGAGTTGTACGTAGATGTCTTGCAGTGAGGCCGACAAGGCGACAGAATCCTGTCGCGGCGTCACGGAGGCTTTTGGCTCCCCCAGCATCTCGGACACCTCCCGCTCCCTCTCATCCTCTAGTTGATACGCCCGCGACTCATGCAGCTTGATCAGGTTGAACACAAGGCAAAAAAGGGACGGCACTTGCAGCCACTGCTGGTCGGCCGTGGGGTCCTGTTGTCTGCCGCCACGCGCGCCGCTGCGCCCTCCTGCGAGCTCCGTCGCCTCCGCCTCCGCCTCCGCCTCCGCCGCCGCGCCCCCGGCGACGGGAACCACCACGGCGGCCTCGCCGGGAAGAGCGGCGTCGCCGTGCCTTCCATTGGCAAAGGAGTTATTGCGAAACCGAACCTCATATGGATTGGTGACGGCAATTTTGGCCGAGTCGTCGACCTCAGTTGTGCCCTTCCGCGAGAACTGATTTTCATCGCGCGGCAGACTCTCCTTCCGCGGCGACGGCGACGGCGCTGAGACCGACGACGACCGCGTCCCGTGTTCCGGGGTCGGAACCTGCGGCTCTACGCCGTGGGCGGCACCCGCGGCCTCCTCCGTGCTGCTGGCGCGCAACACTGCGGGTGCGCTCCTGTCGGCTGCAGGCCGCGCCGACGAAGCGGAGGGCCGTGAAGTCGCCACCTCGCCCAACAGCGTGTTGAGCTGCGCCGCCGTAAAACTATTTGCAGAGACCGTCTCCCCCTCCGTCCCGCTGAGGGAGTGTGACTCGCAGTCCGACCGCCGCCGCCCCTCCGCGGCGCCCAGCCCCGCCCGTGGCCCGGCCCTTTGCCACTGCACCGGAGTGGCGCGGGGGGCCGGGGGTGGCGGCGGCGTCGTCTGCTCTGCACGCCTCTCATCCTGCCCCGGCTTGGGCGGGGAGGCCGGCAGGGCCCGCGGAGTCGATCGGGGCTCCCCCGGCCGTGGCGGAAGCCCCGCTTTGGGCAGCGTCGAACTCGTCGTCAGCGGTGGGGAAGCCTCCCCGCAGAGGGGAGGCGTGGGGTCCGATTCCTCGTTCCGCGACCCTGAATGCTGCTCTGGCGGGCCCCCGTGCCTCAGCGGGTCAAGTAACTGGGAGCCGGCGGAGGCAACCCGCGCCGCCGCACCGCCGTGGTTCTCGTTCAAGCTACTAATATTGCTGTCGCCTGCATTGCCACTACTCACGCGTGGGGAGACGAGCGGCATGGATTGTGGCGGGAATGAGGGCAGCAGCACGGCATTCGCGGCTCCCGCGCCGTCAGGTCTGGAGTCCGGTCCTTCCCGCTTCGGAGGTCTAGGGGGCCCGCCGCCGCTGTTGTCTATGCTCCTGCTGCTGTTCTCGTTGGCGTCCCCGTGGAAGATGTGCCGGTCTCGCTCCGCCGCGGCCCTGGCGAGGTCCTCGTCTCCGCCTCGCTGATTCACCTGCCACCCCCCCTGACAGTCGCTCTCCCTGCGAAGGCTGCAGCCTTCGCCCTCACCGCCGGCCGCCTTGTAGAAGGAGCTCGGCGGCGACACCGTCCAAGTGAGTGGCCCCGCCACGCCCCGCTGCGGTGACGCGGGTGTCAACGCCTTTGTCCTCGCCGTCTGCGCCACTGCGCGCTGCGGGGTGGCCGTGTAGCCGCCCCACGGAGTCGTGACGGTTGCGGTTTCCGGGGATCCGTCACCCCGCGGCCGCGCCGTCATGCACCGCCGCTCCACCAGGGTCCTCGCCTCCTCCTCTATTCTCCCTGCGACCCCATTCCGCCGGCCTCTCCTCGCCCGCCGCTCCTCCTCCTGCTGCCGGGGCGCGGTGCCCGGCTGGCCCAGCGAGGTGGCAGCAGGGACGCCGCCGCTCATGGGCGCCTGCGTGTGTGCGTGCGAGAGCTGCTGCCTACGCGCCACACCCAAAGCGCGGCTGCCCTGTGCCGTGCCGTCAAGCCACACTCGATCGCAGCGACAGAGAGAGAGAGGGAGAAGGGTAGGAAGGGAGGGGGTGAGTGAGAGGCAGTGAGAGAGAGAGAGAGGGAAGGCGAGAAAAAGAAAAAGAAAAAGAAGAAAACAAAAAAAAACACACAAGACCCTCAGTTCCGACCGCTTTACACCCCCGTCACCTCCTGTTTTACAGCAGCGTCCGCCCAAGTACCCTACAAATGTGTGAGTGTGTCGGGCCGATGCGTGTACCTTGTCTGCCAATATATATAAATATGAAATATTTATAATATGTGTCTCTGTCTGTGTGTGTCTGTGTGTCTGTGTGCCTGTGTGTGTCTGTCTGTCTGTCTGTCTGTCTGTCTGTCTGTGTGTGTTTATATGTTTCTTCTCCTACGTGACGTGCGCACCGACGTCGGCGGACCTGGCAAGCGTGGGCGGCGAGGGCAGAGAGGCGAAGCAACGTCCATTGGCACGTGGGCGCGGCCCACCCGCGGCGGGGCAGGGCAGGGCAGAAAAAAGAGTGGGTGAAGTGGGTGAAGGCGAAAAGAAAAAAGATAAAAAAA